CGTTCCCCTCAGGGTGGTAAATCTACTATAATTTAAGAGAGACTAGTTGTTTTATATGGGAGAAGGTTTTACTCACAGCACAGCAGTGACATGCTGATGAAAACTTTATTTTCTGGACCAAATATTGGGACAAATAGTCTGAAAATGGGACAATCTACTAAAAATCAACACTGTCCTAAAAAATACGAAAGGCGTCGTTGCTCTCCTTAAAGTAGTTTTTTCTCTTTCTTTGGCTGTGTATACACAAAGGGAGGAATGAGAAACTTAAAGAAATGGGAACTGTAATGAATGGGGAATTACTCCAGAGGCTAGCTTGGAAAGAATGAGGCAACAGGAATGACCCCTAAGCAGAAATCCCTACAACAAGGTTAAATGCACACTTTGAGAAAGCAGACAAAACAGTGCAATATTAGGTTGGAAAGGGTTTAGAAAATGTTTATAATGAGAAAGGTATAAATGATTATTTAGTTTGCTTTTGAAGTGTTGCCTTTCAGAGCAATGTTGGTCCAGGTGGCTGAAATGAATAATGGAAGACAGCTGTGGCTCTCACCTATCATCCCAGCACTCTGAGAGGCCAACATGGGAGGATCGCTTGAGCCCAGGAGTTCAACCAACTTGGGGAACATAGGGAGGCCCTGTCTCTACAAATAATAAAAAAGTAGCTGGGCATACTATTTTGTTTTTGAACAAAATTCATGAATAATAAAAAAAATTGAAGAATAATTCAAAATTGTTATTTGTAATAATAATTTGTAGAGACACTGTCTCTACAAATAATAAAAAAGTAGCTACTTGGGAGGCTGAGGCAGGAGGACCACCTGAGCCCAGGAGGTTGAGGCTGCAGTGACTGTGCCACTGTACTCCAGCCTGGATGACAGTGGGGCCCTGCCTCAGACAAAACAAAACAAAAACAAAAGTAATATTTATTAATGCTGCACTTCAAAGTTTTAATAAACAGTTATCAAAATAAAACAATAATTGGGAACAAGGCTGTGTGGCAGCAGGCCGTGCTTTAATTCCATATGCACAACACACAGTGGGTACTAATGAATATTCACTGACTGATCAGATGGAAGTTGGAATCGTGAGCCTGAGGTACCAAGGATGCAAGTTTGCAGCATAATAAAACTCGAACCGCATTTTTAAAAGTTCAGCAGATAAATGTAAAGTTGTGAAGCGACAATAAATGTCACAATTCTTTATGAATCTTCATCAACCACAAATTTAACTAAGCCCTTCTCTAACCTTTTAACTTTTACTACTTGTAAGTATACTGAGGCCATTTCGCAAGTGTGTACTGCTCTCTTTGTTTTAAGGCAGGTGATACAAACCCAAATATCTTTAAGGGCCAAGCAAGCCATGAAAATGAGGTGAGTGGGCTGAGTGGAGAGCATGGCAGACAGGAAGCACACATTCTGTGTCTAAGGGAAGCCAGTTATTGTTCTGTAGAAACACAGGTCTAGTGTGATCAGTTCATCTAATTTTTAAAGAGGCTGGATATTGATAAATATATATAATAGTTTTGAAACAGAGTCTTGCACTGTCACCCTGACTGGAGTACAGTGGCACAATCTCGGCTAACTGCAACCTCCACCACCTGGGTTCAAGTGATTCTCCTGTCTCAGCCTCCCAAGTAAGTGGGACTACAGGCATGTGCCACCATGACTAGCTAATTTTTGTATTTTTAGTAGAGACAGCGTTTTGTCATGTTGGCCAGGCTGGTCTTGAACTCCTGACCTCAAGAGATCCACCCACCTTGGCCTTCCAAAGTGTTGGGATTACAGGTGTGAGCCACTGTGCCCACCCTGCACATTGATATTTTTATGAAAACTTACAGTTTTTAAAGGACAGCAAATAACTTTCAAAACCCAAGCAGTGTAGAGCAAACAAAAGTTTTCAGGCCAGGAGTGGTGACTCACGCCTGTAATCCCAGAATCTTGAGAGGCCAAGAAAAGTGGATCGCTTGAACCCAGGAGTTAGAGACAAGCCTGGGTAATGTGGTGAAATCCAGTCTCTATGAAAAATATAAATATCAGCCACGTGTGGTGGCGCATGCCTGCAGTCCCAGCTACTCGGGAGGCTGAGGTGGGAGGATCACCTGAGCCCATGAGATTGAGGCTGCAATGAGCTGTGATTGTGCCTCTGTACCCTAGCCTCGGCGACAGTGAGACCCTGTCTCAAAAAAAAAAATTTCATGGGCCAGGTATGGCCTGTTGCAGATGGTGCCTACTATTTAAGGTATTCTAAGATTTGGTGAAAAGGTTCATATTCTGCTTAGCTGCACTGTCCATGCTTTTTAAAACTTGGGTGAAATTCTCAACTGTTTTTTGGAGGTGGGGGAGACAGGGTCCCATTCCATTGCCCAGGCTAGAGTGTTGTGGCGCAATCATAGTTCAATGCAGCCTCAAGCCCCTGGAGACCTTCAGTATTTATTGTACTAAACCACAGTAACAAAACCCAACTTGGCTCTCAAAGCTTCTTGTTGAATCACCTTACCTTCTCCATCGGTTCATCGCCAAAGAGAACTGGGGTGATAACCAAACTATTCTATTCTCCCAAGGCACCTTGACTCTATTGAAATATCTTTTCTTCCCTCTATTTTTATGGTATCTGCTGATTAGCAAAAATCTAATTTAAATCTCACTTTCTTTGGGAATCCCATTCCACCACAGTAAATTTTCTTCTGTGTCCAACAAATTGTAAACTGGTAGTCATGCTCACAAGAAACAGAATAATCCAGTTCATTTGCTTCTTTGGCTAATGTTTAAAAATTACTTTTTAAGTTTTATTTTGCAGTCAGTAGGTTTTTAAAATTTTATTTTAAGGAATTAATATTTTTAAGAGACAGGGTCCTGCTCTGTTGCCCAGGCTAAAGTGCAGTGGCACCATCCCACTTCAGTGCAGCCTCGAACTCCTGAGCTAAAGCAATCCTCCCTCAGCATCCCAAGTTCTTTAGATAAAGCATTGCCTGACTCTGTAAGTTTACAAGGATGTTGTGCTATGCCTAAAAAGGTATACATTAAGGGTTACAAACTCAAAGGCCTATGGAGGCCAGACAGGTAACACAAACAGTCCAGTGTAAGAGGACTGGGACTTGAATGACTCTGGTGAAGTAGAATTCAAATGCCCCAGCTCTTCCATTCATGAGGCAGTGCAGGGCCAGAGTGGCCAGGCCTTTTTTTTTTTTTAAAAAAAAAAAAAAAAAAAAAAAAAAGGTCAAAACTTTGGGAGCCAAACAAAAACAGATCTGTGAGCTGCCGGTTTTGACTTTGTGTATAATACACTATTTTCCTTGAGTTTAGAGAATGTTTTCCAAATAAAACAGCAGAAGGATACTCATGGAAAAACAAGGGAAGTCACTAGACATACACACTGTAGATAGAATGGGATCCAGTAAACTGCATTAGGTGAGTATTTTGTGAAGTCTAGCCGAAACCTAAGCCCTCAAATGCTGCCTCAAGGTGAGCAGTAGCTTTCCTTTGGAAAGACTCATTTGTGGGACTCTACAAAGAGATGACATTAGTTGCATCTTAAGTATACACATTTGAATAAGGGCTGGTTTGGTTTCACTCGGAATAATAAGGGCCAAAAATTACAATGGGTTTTGACCAAATTTTACCAAAAATACGTAATTCTTTCTTAACAGAAACAAACACACAGAGCTCAAACATCCTGGTGGGATTAAAACAAAACAGGGTATGGAAGTGAATTTTGATAATATACTTTATCATTGTGAGTTGTTTTTTTTCATCTGTCCCATAATCCTTTCTTTTGGGAATTATCTGTCTTTAGAAATACAATATTTCTGTTGGAATTCGTAATTCTCCAGGTTGGGCAATTACAGAATCTCATTTCCTAGATGTAATGGTTTGTCCTGAAGTATGCATGACTTTGGCCAGGTCAGTGAAGAGCCAGTCCTTCTTGAGAGACAAGGATGCTGGGATGGAGTGGGATGGCAGGCTTTAAAAGGGACCACATAGTTCTGCACCTGTCCCCAAGACACTACCAACACACATGAAGAAATCAGTTCAAAGCGACAAAAAGAGAGTCTTGGTAACATCATTTGAACACAAATCCAATGATGTCTGAGGATACTGCAAACACTGATAAATAGTTTACTTTTTAACTTGAGTAAGTTTGACTTGGGTTCCTGTAAATTACAACTGGGAGCCTTGACTAACACAAGAAACATTTGTGGTTTATATCTTAATTTTAGGAGAATGTGGATTCAAGTAAGTTAATTTCAGAAATAGGCAGCTGAATTGTATAATTGCTTCCAAGCTCAACATATATTGATAATTTATATTTTATATTCTATTTATTTAATACTCTAATGCCAGCAAATGAACATTTTCTATCCTCATTCAAGTGCTATTTTAAAATATGATTTAGTTCTAATTATATCAGTAATGCCATGTTCAGTTCGAAAAATTTAGACAATATAGGAAGGCAATAAGGAAAAAAAAGTGAATTTTAAAAGTTAGGATTAAATTAACATGGCCCACTGTGGGCCTGGCACCACAATGGCTCGTGCCTGTAATCCCAGCACTTTGGGAGGCCAAGGCAGGAAGACTGCTTGAAGCCAGGAGTTTGAGTCGAGCCTGGGCAACATAGTGAGGTCCCGTCTCTACAAAATATTTTTAAAAATAAATTAACATGTTAGTCAAAAGTTCCATAGTACAAAGAATTGTATATTTTTGGATATATATGTTGACTTTAATAACCCATGGGAACTATTTTCAGTATGAATTACAATTTAAGATAAAAAAATTGTGTTTACATGTATATGCTGTGAGTATCTAGTAAAATATTAATCTATGGTAGAATACAGAATCTTTGCACTTATCCCCTACAAAGAGTACTACTGGAACCCTGAGAGCAGGAAATGCATGATGAAAAGGCTGCATCTTGAATATTAAATACGCTTGGGTCATGTGAGAATGCTTTCCAGTTATATTTGAATTCAGATTACTGGGGAGGCAGGACGGATGCATGCTCACCTCTTCATTCTCGATTTTGAGCGTGGCGAGGCGGGACTGCAACTGTTGGTACCTGAGCATGAGCTCTGCCTGGACTGGCTGCTGGGCACTGACCTGGCATACCTGATGGAGAATCAGAAACCACAGTTACAACAGGACACGATCAACCTGCCTCCAGAAGCATGGCTCTCTTATTTAAATGACACATGAATCATACCAATCCTCTCAAAGTTCCAATTACATATTTACTTTTAACAGGCACATCAAAACTTCACTTGTACATATGGAGCTGTTACATAAGCTGTAATAGCAGAATGCAGCTGCTTGGCCTGGCTATGACTGGGAAGATGGCAGCTGCAGGAAGGACTGTGGTAAGAATGGGGCAGTTCCTGAGAGGGAGCTCTGATGCTGAAATCTCACTCGTGGAATTCTGAATGACTATTGTGCAGAGGCAGAGGATGATTCAAGTGGACCATACAGACATATGTAAAGAAGGCAGCAGAGCTTAATGGTTAGGGTCTGAGCTCTCGAGTCAGACAGGTGTACTTGAATGCCAGCTCTGTCCCCTACTAGAGGTGACTGTGATAGGTTATAAAACCTCAGTTTCCTAATCTGCAGAATGAGGATAAGAATTCCTATATCACAGGTCTGCTCTGGGAATGATAGGAGACAATGTAGATAAGGAACTTAGAACAGTGCTTCACACAGAGTAAAAACTCAAAAAAATGAATGACTATTTTTAGCATCTTTCAAATATGGCTTTCCTAACCAATATCAGCCAAATTGCTTGATTCACCATGAACTTCATGAGGCCACTTATCTTAGGTTTTGATAGAAGATATTTGGCCATGATCTCAATTATGGGTAAGTTCAAAATTAGAGCATTATTAACACTGCACCAGAAACAATTTCTTCTTACTGCCTTGTTTTAGAAATGCTCTTGGCTGATGGGGGTCTCTTTTATGGAGTTTCCAAAACATTGGAGAGATTACCACTGCTCCTTAGTAGAACTGGTCAAAAAAAAAAAAATGGCAAACAACTTACTTTATTAAAATAATAAAATTATTAACATCCAGCTGATGTCATTTGTCTGTGATATGTTAACATACCATGCTTAATTTATCCACAGCTGAAAAACTGAAACAGCAACCATTTGGTTTTTGGAAAGATGGGATAAGCTACTCAGCTTGCTTGTCAAAAATCCATGTGCTTTTGGCTTAAAAACTTCTTACCATTTCTATAAACACATATAAAATCCAATTAGAAATTCAGCAGGTACACTGTATATGTGTGTGTGTGTGTGTGTGTGTGTGTGTACATATATATATATATAAAATATATATATAATATACATAAAATATACATAAAAATATGTATATATTTTATATGTCTTAATACTTGGTATTTCAGAAAAAAATGACATTAAAGAAATCTTCCATGATCTTATAGTTATATCTATTTTGAAAAACAGTCTGTCACCACAATAAGACCGAGATTTTATCTGTGAGTTTTGTTTTGTGCAGCTGAGATACCAAGTGCTATACAGCATGCTCCACTAGTTGGTTTTTTTTTGCTTTCTCCTGTCCATAGACAATAATATAGACAAATGTAACTCATAGTCAGTTTAAATGCATTTTTTGGTAAAAAAAGGATAGAAAGCTGAATTCATATAAAAAATATAAAACAGTCATAATTTCTAGTGTTCATTTTATAGCTTTGGAGCCAACTTGAATCTTAAAAACAGTTTTGCACTTTTTTTCTTTCTTCCATTTTCCTGCCATATACAATTATTTTTCTTTATGAGAATCTTTAAATCAGGATTATAAGAAACCATCAGACAGATTCTATTGAACCTGCAAAATGTCTTCCTTTTCATTAAATTAAAATGTCTCGAGGTGGAACAAAAACTTTCTATTCTGGGACAGCTTAGTGCAAGGCAAATCTGCAGCTTTTATGTTTGGCCTCTGTGGGTATTTGAGTGTTTGACTTTTGCTTTAAAAAGTGGTAGCGGCTGATCTTAGTGTTATAAGAGCCTTTGCGAGGACAGGAAAGAGAAAACAACTGGGAATTATTACAACTGTTAGATTACAGCAAGTGAGGAGAAATATAAGTGAAGAGACAATTCATTATTTTAAAAATGATCAATTACTGACCTCATCACCCATGTGAGACTGAAATTCAAACTTCATTGGTGGACAGAATGCAGCAGGGTACATCTCCATGAATCTCTGCTTATCGCTCCTGGGCTCTAAATTATCAACTGCATTCTCGATAATGTCTAAACCTTCATGTCTGGAGGTTTCAAGGTTGTACTCGGCAGAGAGATATGTTCTTAGGGCTCTGTTCAGACTTGCATGGTAGCCAAGATCACAGCACTTAAAAAGTAAAAGAATACCACATGCAAAAATTAATGCAAAATTGATCAAAGACCAAAATGTGAGTATAACTATAAAATTCTTAGAAGAAAACATAGGGGTAAATGTTCATGATATTGGATTAGGCACTGGTTTCTTGGATATGACATCAAAAGCACAAGTAATAGATGAAAAAATAAATTAGATTCATCAAAATTGAAGACTCTCCATCTCTACTAAAATTCAAAAAATTAGCCAGGCGTGGTAGCATGCGCCTATATCCCAGCTACTCAGGAGGCTGGGGCACGAGAAACACTTGAACCTGGGAGGCAAAGGTTACAGTGAGCCAAGATAGTGCCATTGCATTCCAGCTTGGGCTACAGAGCAAGATTTTGTGTAAAAAAAAAAAAAAAAAAAGAAAAAAGAAAAAAAAATGTCACTATCAAGACAGTGAAAAGAGAACCCACAGAATGAGAAGACATTTTTGCAAATCATATATCTTATTAGGTACTTATAGCTAGAATATATAAAGAACTCTTACAACTCAACAATAAAAAGACAAAGCCTAATTTTAAAATGGGTCAATGAATCTGAATAGACATTTCTTCAAAGATGACATACAAATGGTCAATAAGCACATGAAGAGATTCTCAAAATCACTGGGAAATACTAATGGTAATCAGGGAAATGCAAATCAAAACCACAGTGAGATACCACTTCACACCCACTAGGATGGCTGTAATCAATAAGACAAACAATCAATAAGAGAATGTGGAGAAACTGGAACCCTCATACACTGCTGGTGGGAATGTCACTTTGCAAAACAATCTGGTAGGTCCTCAAGAAGTTAAACATAGTTATTGTATGACTCAGCAAATCTGCTCTTAGATATATATCCAAGGGAAATGAAAACATATTTCCACCCAAAAATGTGTACACAAATGTTTATAGTAGTATTATTAACAACAGCAAAAAGGCAAAAACAATCCAAATGTCTACAAACCAGCAAATGAAATGTGCTATAGCCATATCATTAAATATTATTCAGCCACAAAAAGGAAGGAAGAACTGATGCATGCTATAATATGGGTGAACTTTGAAAACACTATTGTAGGTGAAAGAAGCAAGTCACAAAAGACCACATATGATTTCACTGACATGAAATATTCAGAAGAGACAAATCCATAAAGACAAAAAGTAGATTAGTGGTTGATGAGGGCTAGGAAGAGGGAAGAAGTAAGGATAATGGCTGAGGGGTACGGGATTACTTTTTTTTTCTTAATTTATTTTACTGCATATTAGGTTTTGGGGTACATGTGAAGAACATGCAAGATTGTTGCATGGGTACACATGTGGCAGTGTGATTTGCTGCCTTCCTCCCCATCACCTATATCTGGCATTTCTCCCCATGCTCTCTCTCCCCAACTCCCCACCCCGCACTGTCCCTCCCCTATTTCCCCCCAACTGACCCCAGTGTGTAGTGCTCCCCTCCCTGTGTCCACGTGTTCTCACTGTTCAACACCCGTCTATGAGTGAGAACATGCGGTGTTTGATCTTCTGCTCTTGCGTCAGTTTGCTGAGAATGATGGTTTCCAGGTTTATCCATGTCCCTACAAACGACACAAACTCATCGTTTTTGATGGCTGCATAATATTCCATGGTGTATATGTGCCACATTTTCCCTGTCCAGTCTATCATCGATGGGCATTTGGGTTGGTTCCAGGTCTTTGCTATTGTAAACAGTGTTGCAGTTCTTGATTTGGCTGTCTTTAAGTCTGTTATTGGTGTATAGGAATGCATGTGAGTTTTGCACATTGATTTTGTATCCTGAGACTTTGCTGAACTTGCTTATCAGTTTCAGGAGATTTTGGGCTGAGACGATGGGGTCTTCTAGATATACAATCACACCGTCTGCAAATAGAGACAATTTGACTTCCTCCTTTCCTATTTGAATACCCTTTATTTCTTTTTCTTGCCCGATTGTTCTGGCTAGAACTTCCAGTACTATATTAAATAGGAGTGGTGAGAGACGGCATCCTTGTCTAGTGCCAGATTTCAAAGGGAATGCTTCCAGTTTTTGCCCATTCAGTATAATATTGGCTGTTGGTTTGTCGTAAATAGCTTTTATTATTTTGAGATACGTTCCATCAACACCTAGCTTATTGAGAGTTTTTATCATAAAGGGCTGCTGAATTTTGTCAAAGGCCTTCTCTGCATCTATTGAGATAATCATGTGGTTTTTGTCTTTGGTTCTGTTTATGTGGTGAATTATGTTTATAGACTTGTGTATGTTGAACCAGGCTTGCATCCCCGGGATGAAGCCTACTTGATCATGGTGGATAAGCTTTTTGATGTGCTGTTGCAATCGGCTTGCCAGTATTTTATTGAAGATTTTTGCGTCTATGTTCATCATGGATATTTGCCTGAAGTTTTCTTTTCTTCTTGAGTCCCTGCCGGGTTTTGGTCTCAGGACGATGTTGGTCTCATAAAACGATTTGGGAAGGATTCTCCCTTTTTGGATTGTTTGGAATAGTTTCAGAAGGAATGGTACCAGCTCCTCTTTGTATGTCTGGTAGAATTCGGCTGTGAACCCGTCTGGACCTGGGCTTTTATTGGGTGGTAAGCTCTTAATTGCTGCCTCCACTTCAGACCTTGTTATGGGTCTGTTCAGGGTTTCGGCTTCTTCTTGGTTTAGTCTTGGGAGGACACAAGTGTCCAGGAATTTAACCATTTCTTCCAGGTTTACTAGTTTGTGTGCATAGAGTTGTTTGTAATAATCTCTGATTATGGTTTGAATTTCTGTGGAATTTGTGGTGATAACCCCTTTATTATTTTTTATTGCATCAATTTGGTTATTCTCTCTTTTCTTTTTTATTAATCTGGCTAGTGGTCTATTTTGTTCATCTTTTCAAAAAATTAGCTCCTGGATTTATTGATTTTTTGAAGGGTTTTTTGTGTCTCTATCTCCTTCAGTTCTGCTCTGATCTTAGCTATTTCTTGTCTCCTGCTAGGTTTTGAGTTTTTTTGATCTTGCTCCTCTAGCTCTTTCAATTTTGACCATAGGGTGTCAATTTTAGATCTCTCCTTGGCTCACAAGTGGGCACTTATTGCTATATATTTTCCTCTAGAGACTGCTTTAAATGTGTCCCAGAGATTCTGTATGTTGTGTCTTCGTTCTCGTTGGTTTCGAAGAACATCTTTATTTCTGTCTTCATTTCATTGTTTATCCAGTCAACATTCAAGAGCAAGTTGTTCGGTTTCCACGAAGCTGTGTGGTTCTGAGTTAGTTTTTGAATTCTGAGTTCTAACTTGAATGCACTGTGGTCTGAGAGACTGTTTGTTATGATTTCCATTCTTTTGCATTTGCCGAGGAGTGATTTACTTCCAATTATGTGGTCAATTTTAGAGTAGGTGTGATGTGGTGCTGAGAAGAATGTATATTCTGTGGATTTGGGGTGGGGAGTTCTGTAAATGTCTATTAGGTTTGCTTGGTCCAGGTCTGAGTTCAAGTCCTGGATATCCTTGTTAATTTTCTGTCTGGTTGATCTGTTTAATATTGACAATGGGGTGTTAAAGTCACCCACTATAATTGTGTGGGAATCTAAGTCTCTTTGTAAGTCATTAAGAACTTGCCTTATGTATCTGGGTGCTCCTGTATTGGGTGCGTTAGCTCTTCTTGTTGCATTGATCCTTTTACCATTATGTAATGTCCTTCTTTGTCTCTTTTGATCTTTGTTGCTTTAAAGTCTATTTTTTCAGAGATGAGAATTGCAACTCCTGCTTTTTTTTGCCCTCCATTTGCTTGGTAAATCTTCCTCCATCCCTTTATTTTGAGCCTTTGTGTATGCTTGCATGTGAGATGGGCTTCCTGGATACAGCGCACCAATGGGTTTTGGCTTTTGATCCAATTTGCTAGTCTGTGTCTTTTGATTGGGGCATTTAGTCCATTTACATTTAGGGTTAATATTGTTATGTGTGAATTTGATACTGCCATTTTGGTGCTAGCTGGCTCTTTGAGCATTAGTTGATGCAGATTCTTCATTGTGTTGATTCTCTTTACCATTTGGCATGTTTTTGGAGTGACTGGTACTGGTTGTTCCTTTATATGTGTAGAGCCTCTTTCAGGAGCTCTTGTAAAGCAGGCCTGGTGGTGATGAAATCTCTGAGTAATTGCTTGTTCACAAAGGATTTTATTTTTCCTTGACTTATGAAGCTTAGTTTGGCTGGATATGAGATTCTGGGTTGAAAGTTCTTTTCTTTAAGGATGCTGAATATTGGCCCCCACTCTCTTCTGGCTTGTAGGGTTTCTGCTGAGAGATCTGCTGTGAGTCTGATGGGCTTCCCTTTGTGGGTAACCCGACCTTTCTCTCTGCTGCCCTTAGTATTTTCTCCTTCATTTCAACCCTGGTGAATCTGATGATTATGTGCCTTGGGGTTGCTCTTCTTGATGAATATCTTTGTGGTGTTCTCTGTATTTCCTGGACTTGAATATTTGCCTGCCTTGCTAGGTTGGGGAAGTTTTCCTGGATAATATCCTGAAGAGTATTTTCCAGCTTGGATTCATTCTCTTCGTCACATTCAGGTACACCTATCAAACGTAGATTAGGTCTTTTCACATAGTCCCACATTTCTTGGAGACTTTATTCATTCATTTTTATCCTTTTTTCTCTAATCATACCTTCTTGTTTTATTTCATTGAGTTGATTTTTGACCTCTGATATCTTTTCTTCTGCTTGGTAAATTCGGCTGTTGAAACTTGTGCATGCTTCGCGAAGTTCTAGTGTTGTGTTTTTCAGCTCCATCAATTCACATATATTCCTTTCTAATTTGTCCATTCTCGTTAGCATTTCGTCAAATCTTTTTTCAAGGTTCTTGGTTTCTTTGCATTGGGTTAGAACATGTTCTTTTAGTTTACAGAAGTTTCTTACTACCCACCTTCTGAAGTCTGATTCTGTCATTTCATCATACTCCTTCTCCATCCAACCTTGTTCCCTTGCTGGTGAGTTGTGATCCCTTGTAGG